GCGGGGCAGAGCAGGGCCAGCCCTGCTCCCAGCACCATGGCCCACCCAGCTCCCAGAAGGATGCCTACAGCGCATCCCACCCCCATCAGCCCCCAGCCCGCAGACACCGACAGCCCCAACTCACGATCTGCTTCTCGTTCTGGTTGCCGCTGCTGTAGGTGGTGGCAAGGGTGGAGGAGCAGGCCTCGCTGTACCAGGGCACGTTACCGTACTGCGTGGTGCTGCTGATGGACAGTGTGTAGATGCTGTTGGTGTAACCGTCACAGTTGCAGCTGTCGTGCTCGCGGCCCCCGTTCCCGGACGCCCAGACGAAGATGGAGCCCAGCCCCCCTCGGCCCTAGCAACAGAGGCAGGGTGAGGGCCAGCACCGGCATCACCCGCGCTGCCGCAGGGCGGGAAGCCCCAGGCTGGAGCTGGGGACAAGGGGATGGTGCCAGCCCCAGGGAGCCTGCAGCCCGAGCAGGAAAGACCGAACAGATGCAGCTGGGACCCCAGAGGACAGCGGGACGCCATCAGTCACAGGCTGACAGCCTGGGCGCCCGGCACCGCCATCCCTCACCACTGCCATGACTACGGAGGGTGCTGAGGCAGCTCTGTAGGGGCTGCCCCAAGAGGTAAGGCGCTGGGTGGCAGGAGGTCCTGCCGAAGGGGGGCTTCCAAGAACTGATGTCTTTTTGTGCTTGGAGATCACCCAGGCTGACTCTGCCTGTGTGGGATTTACAGCTGCCTGGCAGCACTGTGGGAGCTCAGCAGAGCAGTCCCAACCAGCAGCTCAGCACCCAAAAGCCACAGTTCCACTCACAGCACGCATGACGCTGCTGGCGTGGCACAGCAGGGTGGGTTTGCAGCACGCCTTGCACAGCACACACTGTCTTTCGGTGCTGGGAATCCCAGGAGGACATGGGGCACAGCTGAACCACACAGGCTGCACCATGGCCACGCCAAGGCACAGGCTGCACTGACAGCGCATGGGGACCGCGAGGGGAGGACAGGCAGAGGAAACGAGGGTGAGTGGCTGGCATGAAACCATGCAGGTACCAGCACAGAGCTTCGGAGAGTGGGGAGAGACTGTCTCAGTGTCGGGCTGCGTGGGAGCCCTTGGAGCAGGCAGGACAGGGCTGCTCAGAAAGGGGAGATGAGCACCCTGCATGGGAGGAGCCCTGACTCTGAGCCATCACACAGGAAGAACAGGAAAAACCAACAGAGCCTGATCCTGGAGATGGGCTGAAGACAGCTCATCACGGAAGGGCCAGGACAACGACTGGGGCAGGCAGAGCAAGGGAGACCAGGGGGAAGAGGCAGGAGCTCAGCCGGCGCTGCCCCGGCAAACTCTCCTGCTCACCTGGCTGACCCCTCGGAAGAAAGCCTCCTCCGCCAGCCGGGCCGGACCGTCCACAGTCTTGCCATCGTCCTCGGGGCCCCAGCTGGCACTGTAGATGTGGATGTGGTTGGGATTGAGGCCCAGGGAATGGGCCTCCACAGCATCAGTCACCTCCCCATCCAGCATGCGCACGCCTAGGGCCAGAGAGCAGACGTCATGGGCGACCGGGCAGGGCAGGGCGGCCGCGTGCCGCACAGCAGTGGTGCCGCTGGTGAGAGCCCTCTGTCCACTGCTGCCACCCCGTGCTGTGGGCTGTCACAGGGCTGCCCTGGACAGCAGTGCCAAGATCCCCAGCACAGCCTGCTCCTCTGGTCACGAGGCACCTGCAGAGCACAGTGCGGGCTTTGCTCTCGGTGCAGGGCAGGGTGGCACCCACCTCCGATCCTGGCGTTGTAAGCCACGCCGACACCACAGATCCCGTTGTTTGCCACGGCAGCAACTTCCCCGGCGCAGCGTGTGCCGTGTCTGCAGTCGAAACAAGACCAAGAGTGCTCAGGTGGGGCATGGGGAGCACAGGGCTGAGCACCAGCCACAGCCAGAGGGACCAGCACCCAGGCTGCCTCCCGTCCCTCCCGGATAGGGAGGCCGACAAAGGCCCCACAGTGCTCCTCTGTTACCCTCCTGCTCTGGAGCAGGGGGCCTGAACGGCCTGCACTGGCACTGGGCAGCCCCAAAGGATGCTGCTCACATCAGAAAGGGAAGCAGGAGGTTTCTCTGTGGGGCAGAAGCATGCTGCCACCCCTGCACCCTCCTGCAGTTTGTGACGGCTGGGGCTGCGGCTGGGCTGTGCTGCCCTCACCTCTGCCTCCTGCCTCACCTGTTGTCGTTCATCTGTGTGTAACGGGGCTGTGGGTCTGGGTCCTGGTCATTGACATCAAAGCTCGCCCCTGGATCCTGGAAGACAGATCTGGCAGTTAGAGAGAGTCTATCTTGGCCACCGAGCCCCACTGCCCTGGGACCTTGTTCCACATCCCTGAGGCTGGGCTGAGCAGGGGGGGCAGGCTCCAGTCCCAGCTCCATCGCTTTCCTCCACGTCCCACCACGGCAGGCACGAGCCCTGTGCCAAGCAGCTCCAGGGCTGCACCGAGCGGATGCAGCCACCCGGACAGGCTCCTGTGGCACACTGCCCTGCGGCATTGCCCCACACTTACATAATTGCCCTCCAGGTCAGGGTGGTTCTTCTCAATGCCATCATCCAGGATGGAAACCACGATGCCCTTGCCTGTGTAGCCCTGCTCCCAGGCCTGACGCACATTCAGGTCCCGCTGGTTTGTGTTGTACTGCCGAGAGAAGCCCTGGCAATAGGAGCTGCGCCCAGTCGCTGGTACCGCAGCAGGGTGTGCCCGGACCCCTCCCAAACCCAGCTGTTAGAGGCAAGAGGCGGCCTTCACCCCGCTCTGCTGTGGCATGGGGATGAGGAAACCCCGGGCACAGAGGGCTGGGCACAGCTGCCCAAGGAGGGCTACTCCGAAAGGAGACTGAGCCCCATCAACATGGCTCCCTTCACAGAGATCAGGCTTGTGCCCAAGTTTGATGATGCAGACAGGCACGGGCACAGGCCCATTCCTGGGCCAGGCAAAGGGCTGCTCCCCAGGCTCTCCCCAGCCCTGC